TGATTGTGATATGAACAATCCACTCGATATGGTCAGTATATTTTTTCTACGACCCACTAACGAAAATCTAAAAATTTAAAAAATTATTTTAGGTTATTTAGACAAAATAACTAATTTTAAAATAATTTACGAAGTCGACTAATTTATAAAATAAAATTAACATGAAAAATTAATTAGTCCTCGGCCTAGATTCGATCCCGGGCTTTTCGCATGGAAGTCAGATGCTCTGTCCTCATCTTCACCGAAACTTTCAGGACTTTAGTTTTAATACTCGTAATTAAATTAGTATCATGTAGTTTGATTAAAATTTATTTTTTTTTAAATGTGGACACAATAAAAACAAAAATGCTATTATTTATCGAGTCTACACAAAAATTTTAATGTATATTTAATATCAATAACTAAAATATATATTGACAATTAGTTTAACAGAATTGTCACTTATTTAAAAAAAATTAAATAATAGGAGTTGGGTGACCAAAATATGAACTGTGATTTGTAGATTTAATTTTGTTAAAGTGTTCTCACTACCTAAAATGGATATGAAATATATTCGTAGTTGAACGCAAAAACATACTTTTTCGTTTTGTAGTATGTGCATAGATTGGCTAATATCCATGCACAGATTACAAAACGAAAAAGTATGCTATTGCCTTCAATTGAAAGAATATATTTCATATTCATTCTAGGTAGTGAGAACACTGCAAAAAAAATAAATTCGCCAATCACCGTTCATATTTTGATCAACCGACTGCTATTATTTTTAAAATTTTAAATAAATGACAATTCTGTCAAACTAATTGTCAGTATATTTTTTAGTTATTGAGATTAAACATACAATAAAATAAGTTATTCTTTTGGAAAACGTTAGCATTAATGACTAAAGGATATTGGGTTAATTAATTCTAAAAGTGTGGTACAAATGTTATTTTTTGTAGCCAATTCTTCAAAATTATTTTGAAATATCTTTTCAATATTGAATATTAGTTCTACAAATTCATCATTTGACAGTTGCAGATTTCCAAATGTATCTGGATTGGCGTTATCATATGCCTTTAAAAAGCAATAAAAAGAAAAATCATCTAATTCAACGTGATCTTTGTTATATTTAAGACAGGTATCGCAGAGGAGTGGATCCGCAAGGCTTTTATTTAAAGGTAACCACACACATACCTGATAAAATTTTTCTATATCAATTCGTCTTTACAATAATTTAGGGTGTTAATAATTTTATCATAAAATAAAATACAAGGTGTTCCATACATTTTAATTTGCCAGGCAAAAACGTGACACCCTGTATATCCAAAGATATTTTTAAAATATGTAGGTATTTTTCAAATCCATATAACTTTTATTTAAAACTTTCTTGCGTGTCTACAACAAAATAATGAACAATAACGCACTAATGGGATACCCTGTATAAATTATATTTTTAACAATGAAAATTTCTTTTAATGTGGTACTTATCGGTTTGGGTCCTTGGGAAAACTAAAGAATGTTTTCTTGCAGGTATAACCCTTATTAAAACAGCTTTTGACTGCACAAACAGAATGATGTCTTTTTTTTCACTCATTCTACTCATAGCTAAAGAGTCACCATAATAATAACAGTACCTTTAACTCAAACAAAATCAACGAAATTATAGGCTCCACGAAATTATACAATCAACGAAATTATACGCACGACTCAACACCTTACCTAAGTACGCTTCTGAACACCAAAACCGTCTTTTCCCTTCGAAGGCGGAGCTTAAGCGATGCGCGACGAAATCGACGCAAACCGTTGCCGCCAAGAGAGTGTTTTAGCTGTATTGTATAAGCTGTGTTTGTACTTTAAATATAACCAGTTAAAAATTAAACTCCTGTTAGCTAAACTCCTGTTATTTTTTTAACGTTATTTTGCATTTATAGTTCTATCCAAATATACGTGCGTAATATTATTTTTTTTAATTCAAAATCAACCGATATTTCTTCTTTTTCATGTTATAAACTATGTAAAATTCAACGTTTTATTATAATAATAGAGAGTTTTAGCAAATGTACGTAAGATTTCCGCTAACGTTACGTTAAACTTAGATTGAGACCTTTTTCATAAACATTGAACGGAGTAGATTACAGTCTATCCCTAAGGTAACGTTAGCGGATGGTTAGCGGCTGTTTGCTAAAACTCCCTATTATCTTAACATAAAACGTTAAAAACATACGTTAATTTCAAATTCAATTTGTAGTTGTGAATAACGTTATTTTTTGCGACATTTGAACTCTTTCTCATACGTTTAGTTATCAACCAGTTTTCGACGTTTTTTTAACGTACGTGTGCTCATTGGGCATTATCTATTTTTATTTCCAGTAATTTTAACAACAATTTTAAATTAAGGTTACTTTTTTACCAAAGTAGTATGATCAATTCTATTATATTGCATAACTCACATTGTGTTTATAGTTAGATTTTTTATTGATTTAAATTCGATTCACTCTGTTATTTACGAAATAATAAGTAATATTGTAAGCATCAAAATTATTATACAGTGAAACCTGTGTAAAACGGAATCACACGATCGTGCACCGATTTTCCGGCATATACAGGATTCCGCGTTACACAGGGTAGATAAAAAATTGCACATAGTAGATTTAAAAAAGTGATGATTTTATTAAAAAAAATCTAATATACGTACATTTAATATATAGTTGTTATTATTACTATGTACCTACATATTTTTATTTATTATTAGAAACAATATAAATTATTATTTATTCCACATTTCTATCAATGTAAGTTGTTTTTTATTCTTTTGTAATACGTAAGATGATTCCATGAATGTCCTTAATTCTAAAATCTTCTTTCTCATCGGTTCGCTCTCTATTCTTTGGGAAAAATCCTCTAACGCTGCAACACTCCTCAAAGCTTCAGAAATTTTTTTTATCCGATCGGATTCTTCAACTTCTGTTCCTGTAGATAAAAATAATAATTTAAGAACAGATCGTTTTGAAAAGCTAATGGGAAAATAATTTTTTCTATCTGTTATTTTTGTGATGGTAACTGAAATCTTCCTATCTTATTTTTATTTTATGTATTTTAACTTTATTTCTACTTGGCCAAATGCCCAATTAAGATGGAAAGAATAAATAAAAAGTTGTTTATTTTTTTAGAGAATTAGAAAAATCGCTTACCAATTCCAATCCCATCATTAGCGTCTCCCACAGTAGTTTCCACGGCATTTTTTTCTAACACCAGTTCTTCTATGGACTGAAATCCAGCATTTGTTGTAACGGCTTCATCTAATGTGATGTAATCATGAACATTACAACCGGGATTAATTTCAGTAATTAACTCTTCGACTTCTTTTGTACTTTCGTCAATTTCGTCAACATTTTCGATTAGGTCAACGTCTCCATCTTGCTTGATTCCACATGCCACAAAACATTTTTTAACACAATCAGGTTTAATATTTTTTACTGAATAATCAATCCATCTGATAGCATCCAAAACTGATATTTTTTTAGCCAAATCTCCTGCTGATTGAGAGAATCTCATATTCGCAATAATTGATCGCAGCACTTGTTTTCTGTAATGCATTTTGAAGTTTTGTATAACTCCATGATCGAGAGGCTGTGTTTGACTTGTGGTGTTTGGTGGTAGAAAACACAATTTTATATTGGATAGTATTATTTTGGGGTGACACGTTGCATTATCCAAAAATAGAAGGATGTGTCGATTTTCAAATTTCATTTTTTGATTTAAAATTTTTAGCCACTGTTCCATAAGAACTGATGTCATCCATGCTTTTTTATTTGCTCGCCAATAAACTGGTAGCTGAAGCACATTGGTATTGTTAAAACATCGCGGTCTGAGGGATTTTCCAATAACTAGAGGTTTTTCTATTTTTCCGTCAGCAAAGGCGCAAAACAAAACGGTTAACCTTTCTTTAGATTGTTTGCCTCCTTGACATTTTTCTCCTTTAAAGCACATTGTCTTGTCCGGCAGCGCTCTATAAAAAAAGGCCAGTTTCGTCACAATTAGCAATGTCTTTTAGGGTATATCCTTTAATTAAATCTGTAATGTGCGATGTCCATTCAGTCACAGATTCCATGTCGACGTCCTTAGCTTCACCGCAGATCTGATTAAATCTTATGTTATGTCGTGTTCGAAAACTTTCCAGCCATCTATTCGAAGCTTTAAAATCTACTTTTCCAAAATGGTTTGCAATTTCTCTTGCTTTTTCTTGAATAATTGTTCCAGATACAGGAACATTGCGAGACCTTGCATCCATAAACCATTCCAAAACTGTTGAATTTACGTCGTCGTGATGTGATTCCTTTGGCTTTCTCTTAATATCGCCATTACCACCACGCATCCACTCTTCTTTAATTTTTTCCTTGTTTTTCAAAATTTCATACACTTGCGTTTTTCCGCACTTAAATTGAATAACCAATTGCTTTGGAGTAAGTTTTTTTTGGTCACTACATTTAATTAAGTCCATTTTAGATTTTAGCGATAATGTATTCGTTTTTCGGTTTGCCATTTTGAAATGTTTGCACTTTCACGGATAAACTCAAACTGCCGTACCTACACAATACTGGTTTATTTGTGTATTTACTGCTTTTGTACCTAAATTTCTGTGATAATGGTTCTAAGTATTGATAATAGTTCGCCCTTATTATGGGGCTTTCCGAAATCATAAACTAATTATGTAAACATCTATAAATTCTTTTATACCTGCAAAGCAATAACATAAGTAGGTTCCGGCTTAACGGATTAGGGAAATTCCGTGTTCGCGTTAGACAGGGTTATAAGCAATTTTTACATTACAATATGTAGGTAATCGCCAAAATTTCCGTCATACACAGGATTCCGTGTTACACAGGTTCCGGCTTACTCAGGTTTCACTGTATTTTCTCCAATATTAAGTTGAATCATTATCTATGAGTGATTAAATATTATCGAAGTATTCGTATTGTGCACATTAAATTTGTAATTTTATTATTTTTATTTCATTTTAGGTTGTCGGTCTGCCACATGAACGATTAGGCGAAGAAGTGTGCGCCTGCTTAAGAACAAAGGATAATAAACAATTAACGGTGGACGATATCAGAGCATTCTGCATGGGAAACATGTCTACTTTTAAATTTCCCACTGTAGTTAAAATTTTGAAAGAGTTTCCCAAAACGACGTCTGGAAAAGTGCAAAAAAACAATTTGATTAAAATTTTAACGGAAATATAAATAATGACGAAATTTTGTTTTTTTTTATTTATTCATATTCTTTATTTGTAAGGTTACTCAGTCGGTATTTTTCATTTAAACACTCTAATGAAAGGTTAATGGCCATACGTCAACAACTAAGCACGCGGTTTATACCAAATTGTTTTTATCTAATCTATTTATCTTTATATCTCGTGTAGTACTACTACTTATATTTAACGTAAAACCTAAAACTAAACAAACACTCAATAATAGTAAAAATTAAATGTGTGATATTAATACATAAACATTACAGGGGTAGAAAAAAATGTTTGCTATTTGAGTCTCAAAATATATTACAGTAGATACTTTTTTTCTACTGAATTCATCTTACTTGGTCTTTGATAACACTGCAGCCTAATAGCTTTACTGTGTTTTATAGAACCTACTCTGCCACTATTGTGCATTGTACAAGTTTGTACAGGTCTCTGAATAAGTGTGCATAGACTGGATCAACTTGTTTACTTTTACAAAGTTAACAATTACCTACAGAAAAAAAATGCATTTCCTGAAAATCTGAAAATTTTATTAAATTGTAATTAAGAATACTTTATCGTTAAGGCCTCAGTATCACTGTATTTTTCATATAAGAAGACAGGGTTCACCATTTCCGATTGCATTTAAATCCCGCTAAATGTATTAAAATGAATCTACCAGCTTAAAGTATAAGGTTTGGAGAATGAAATCTCCTATTTTTTATTTGACCTGTTTATACACTAAATTTAAAAAAAAAATCATAAAAAGTGATTTTAAAACCAGAGTCTAAAAAGTAGGAGATTTCATTCTACATATTTTTTCAAGTATCCCGCCAAAATATTTCTAAATTTTATTGCGTATTTTTCAAATCTAACTCGAAATACGATACCGGTGTGAAGTTAGCAGCCACTTTCCAGCAGCCCGTTTACCGGAAACACCCGAGTTACCAGAGGCGTCGAAATGTATTTTTCTGTGAAGTTAACGGTGTATTGAAATAAAATTACTACTACATTTTTAAGAAACAAATAAAAAGTGTTTAGAGAAAGGATTAAGGGGTAAACAGAAATAAAAATACAATAAAAAATTTATTAAAAAATCAATTTTTCTATAAATATAACAGAATATTGAAATAAAAATAGTGTCAAATTGTAAAAAACTATAAAACACAACCTAAAAAAAAAATATCAAAATCACTTAGGAAGGGGATGAGGGGGTCAAATTAAATAAAATTCCATTAAAAACCTATTTAAAAATTAATTTGCCTATGAAGACAATTGGGTATTGAAATAAAGTTAGTGCCAAATTGTTAGAAACAATAATATACAACCTAAAAAAATTACCAAAATTACTTAGGAAGGGGATGAGGGGGTCAAATTAAATAAAATCCATTAAAAACCTATTTAAAAATTAATTTGCCTATGAAGACAATTGGGTATTGAAATAAAGTTAGTGCCAAATTGTTAGAAACAATAATATACAACCTAAAAAAATTACCAAAATTACTTAGGAAGGGGATGAGGAGGTCAAATTAAATAAAATTCCATTAAAAATCTATTTAAAAATTAATTTGCCTATGAAGACAATTGGGTATTGAAATAAAGTTAGTGCCAAATTATTAGAAACTATTAAATACAACCTAAAAAAATTACCAAAATCACTTAGGAAGGGGATGAGGGGCTCAAATTAAATAAAATCCATTAAAAACCTATTTAAAAATTAATTTGCCTATGAATACAATTGGGTATTGAAATAAAGTTAGTGCCAAATTGTTAGAAACAATAATATACAACCTAAAAAAATTACCAAAATTACTTAGGAAGGGGATGAGGAGGTCAAATTAAATAAAATTCTATTAAAAATTTATTTAAAAATTAATTTGCCTATGAAGACAATTGGGTATTGAAATAAGGTTAGTGCCAAATTATTAGAAACTATTAAATACAACCTAAAAAAATTACCAAAATCACTTAGGAAGGGGATGAGGGGCTCAAATTAAAATTTCATTAAAAACCTATTTAAAAATTAATTTGCCTATGAAGACAATTGGGTATTGAAATAAAGTTAGTGCCAAATTATTAGAAACTATTAAATACAACCTAAAAAAATTACCAAAATCACTTAGGAAGGGGATGAGGGACTCAAATTAAATAAAATTCCATTAAAAATCTATTTAAAAATTAATTTGCCTATGAAGACAATTGGGTATTGAAATAAAGTTAGTGCTAAATTGTTAGAAACAATAATATACAACCTAAAAAAATTAACAAAATTACTTAGGAAGGGGATGAGAGGGTCAAATTAAATAAAATTCCATTAAAAATCTATTTAAAAATTAATTTGCCTATGAAGACAATTGGGTATTAAAATAAAGTTAGTGCCAAATTGTTAGAAACTGTAAAATAAAACTTAAAAAAATTACCAAAATCACTTAGGAAGGGGATGAGGGGCTCAAATTAAATAAAATTCCATTAAAAATCTATTTAAAAATTAATTTGCCTATGAAGAAAATTGGGTATTAAAATAAAGTTAGTGCCAAATTGTTAGAAACTATAAAATAAAACTTAAAAAAATTACCAAAATCACTTAGGAAGGGGATGAGGGGCTCAAATTAAATAAAATTCCATTAAAAATCTATTTAAAAATTAATTTGCCTATGAAGACAATTGGGTATTGAAATAAAGTTAGTGCCAAATTGTTAGAAACAATAATATACAACCTAAAAAAATTAACAAAATTACTTAGGAAGGGGATGAGAGGGTCTCAAATTAAATAAAATTCCATTAACTTTATTTCAATACTAGATTGTCTTCATAGGCAAATTAATTTTTAAATAGATTTTTAATGAAATTTTATTTAATTTGGGCCCCTCATACCCTTCCTAAGTGATTTTGGTAATTTTTTTAGGTTTATTTTATAGTTTCTAACAATTTGGCACTAACTTTATTTCAATACCCAATTGTCTTCATAGGCAAATTAATTTTTAAATAGATTTTTAATGGAATTTTATTGAATTTGACCCCCTCATCCCCTTCCTAAGTAATTTTGATAATTTTTTTAGGTTGTGTTTTATAGTTTTTAACAATTTGACACTATTTTTATTTCAATATTCTGTTATCTTTATAGAAAAATTGATTTTTAATGAATTTTTTATTGGATTTTTATTTCAGTTTACCCCTTAATCCTTTCTCTAAACACTTTTTTTGTTTCTTAAAAATTTAGTAGTAATTTTATTTCAATACACCGTTAACTTCACAGAAAAATACATTTCGACGCCACTGGTAACTCGGGTGTTTCCGGAAAACAGGCTGCTGGAAAGTGGCTGCTAACTTCACACCGGTAAATACGATTAAAAAATATTTGATAAATTTATTTGTCAAATTAGAGATTTTTTATGAATTCCTGTAATTGTGTATAGTTCATGTAGTTCATCTATTTTTAAGAAGATGTCACCGTAAAAAACAATGTAGCTACTCTGTTTTAGAGATGGTTTTAATAGATAAATGATTGTTTAGAGGTACCAATTTATGAAACAGTGATACAGCTATATGCCGTCTTTTATTGTTTCGAGATTTTCGTATATATTTGTTTCGTTGGGTTCCAAATTATCGATTGATTTTGCCTGTGTATGAAGAAGTGTTGACCACATTGCCAGATTATCGATTTATACGATAATTTCACAATTCTTTATAGGACGAATTTGAGTGGGTGAAATATACAATGGTGAAATGCAGGAAAGGGAAGGAACTTTATGGCATTCTGATGTAATTTAAATCCGAATGACCTGGCATCATTGTATGATACGCACGTAATATTTGCGTACTTTGCTTTCTTCTTCTGAATGTTATTTTATGTTTATAAGGAATATTATTTCTAAGTTAACACGTTGACTGCTATATATATGTACCCATGTGTATGTCCCACTAGTGCGTAATTATTCAATATTTTAATTTATGTTAAAGACACGCAAACGTGTTTCAAAGAAAAGTTATATGGATTTAAAAAATACATATTTTAAAAATATTTTTAGATATATACAGGGTGCTACATTTTTGCTTGGCATATTTTTAAAATAGGACATGTATTTTATTTCAATTTTAGAATAATTTGGTAATACTGTATTTAACCCTAGAATAATTTAAAAAAATATTATAGGTCTGCCAAGCAATTAAATTTTTATAAAATTAGAAAATGATGCAGACCCCAAATTAAATTATCATAATTTAGGTAGGATTACATTGATTTCAAAATTGTTTAATATACTGACTTATAGCACATTAAGATAACGAATAGTAGTGATAGTGCTGGATTCTTTTATAGCGAGTGTTTTGAAACATGTCTTAAATATGGTTACTTTTAAGTCAAATTATTCTATTTTTTCAAAGGCAGCATCTGATATAATATTTTAGCATACAATTCCTTATAAATTTGCATATCAACGATACCAACATGTTAGAGAATAACATATATACAGAGTGTCTCATCAGTGCGTAATTGATCGATAGCTGTTTTATTATTAGAAATAAGAAAAAAAAATTAATATAAAAGTTGTATGACCATATTTAAAAATTATTCCTATATATACAGGGTGGTCCATAAACGAGATGTTGACCAAACCTATACATTTTTAAATCAAAACACCCTGCAGGTAGTTATACATATTTGATTGTTTTCACGTCGTCAAATAATTTTAATTGACTTCATTCATTTGCTATGTTATATATAGGGTGTGTCAACACGCGAGGTTACGAATGTTTAAAATTTTTTTAATGGAATATTATATTAATTGGTGGCATAAGATACAGGGTGTTCCATTTAGAAAATTGAGAAAATCGTAACCATTTTGACACACACTATAAACAATATAGCAAATAAATGAAATTGAAATTATTGTTCGACGATGTGAAAACAGTTAAATATGTATAACTACCTACAGGGTGTTTTGCTTTAAAAATGTATAGGTTTGGTCAGACAATCGTTTATGTATTACCCTATATATTTATAAATAATTGTTAAA